CCCCCCCCCCCCCCCCCCCCCCCCCCCCCCCCGTCTCGTGATCCAAACCTCCACCCAGCGTCCGAGCTGCCGTGCAACGAGCTTGCCCGTTCATGCCCACCTCGCTGGGAGAGTGGGCGGATTTGGACACAGATCGGCTGTGGTCGTTGTCCTCGTCGTTACCGCCAGCAGTGTCGGCGGCAGGCCGGCGTCAGAGGTCTACTGCAAGTTTTGACGACACCGAGGCCTTAGCGTTGAGGGCTTTGTGGGAGGTAAAGTAAAGACCAAGGGCCTAAAGTGTGTCGTGATCTCAGCCCGAACACATCATCATCGTTGACGACGACGCTTTGGTAGAAAATGGCGGTGGGTGCGACGCTGATGTCACTTTTCGGCCGCGCACAGCAGTGTTGTGCGTGCTAGGTTTTAGAATTGCCCTCTCGGGCGAGGTAAGCTTCTGTAGGCCTCGAGCTACAGATCCTTGGACCGACTAGCAACCCATTCTGTTTTTGTGTCACTTTATGAGGAAAATGCCTTCGCCATTTGTGCCCTAGGCGTGGAAAACGTGTTGGTCCCCCGCACGTCTTTGACGCGAGAAAGTTGGTATTTGTTTATTTAGAAAGGCCAATCCACAACGGCGTTCCTCTTCAGGGTAGGGCAAAGCGGTGCATCAACCAATCGTGATACATAACGCAAATTCAACAGAAGAAATCGCGTTAGCGGAGAGCGCAATGGGTGTTGTGTGAGGCTAAATATTACTGGACATGCTGTGCCTAGAACGGTGCTCCTATCGTCTTCAATGATGTATTGGGCCCAATTAGCAGACGACGAATACGGAAACCTGCGCATTCGCCGCCCCCCTCGCTCTTCCTCCCTTAATGTATTCCTGGCGCTAGCCACGTTCAGAACAAGACGAACATTATCACCACGCTGCCATTCAGACACGTTTTTTTCCTTTCGCTTCGATTCGTGGGCCGAGAACAGGCGCCCCTGTTCGCTACTTCGAAGTACTAGCTTTGGTGCTTGTTTCCGACTGAATAATATGACCTTCGTGCCCCCTCCCAAACGCCTAACTCTTGCTCTTGGTGAGCGAGGCTATCCCTAGAGCAGGGCAGAACACCATAATCTCGGGCACCTTTGCCGCCTTCCTAGTCGACAAATGACGTCCTACAACTCATCGACCTTCGTTCGATCGTTTGTTCTTCAACCCCCCCCCCCCCCCCCCCCCCCCCCCCCCCCCC